GGCGTGGTATCTTTGGAACAAAACTCTCCTAACCACTAAGAGGTGACGTCCTATAAACAGCCATTTTCTTATGACGGCCGTCATGAAGTAACAATTCTCATGGTTCTTTTTCTAGGCCGGTAAAAGCAACTTATGCAAGACTCTGAGAACAATGATACCTTCTTACAATGTATTTTGACTAATGCGCTACGTACTCGTTCATGTCAAAGCCAAGTTTCACATCCAGCATTTGGACTTTGTGCACAATTCCTTCGTATCTCTGCTTTAATACACCTGGCTCGTAAGCATAGATCTTGTCACCGCGTAATACAGACGGGCGATTTTCTGCAAGACCAGGTACCTACAATTCACACACGGGAACAACAAATAAATGTAAAAATAAAAGAAAAAATTAACCACGAAACTGAAATCCTTTTAGTCAGTAAAATTCTTCCTATGCGTTCCTTTTTTTTTCCTTTTTCTCGAGAGGAAAACCAAAAACTCAGTGGTCCAATAAAAAAAATAATAGAAAATTCATCATGGTACTATAGAAGGACAAGAGCTAAATTCCCCGAATCCTAGAAGAAAATTGAACACCAGACCCCAAGGGTTTTCGAAAGCAAGCAGTGTGGCCGAAAGAAAAATAATCTTTCAGGAATAAATAAAAAATAAATGAGGAAAAATTGCTTTTCTCGGCATCGGTGTTATTTATGGAAAAAAAGAGGCTTTAATATAACGTGTGTTCTTGACTGGCTCAAGAAAATCTACCAACCTCTAAGATCAGAAAGCGTCTGTCTCCTCTTTCCTGTTGAAAAACAACTCCTTTCATATCATAGTTTCTGATATCCTTCTGCATTTGTAGCTCTTCCACGTGAAGAAGTAGAGAGAGCTTCTCTTTGTAGTTGTCAAAGCTCAAATTCTTTTTCAGTCGCTCACTGAAAACAGGACAAGCAGGTGAGCTGCAAATTATACACCTCCTTTAAAAACACAAAGTGTCCTTACCGAAGTCCTTCCCGGATTTGATTGCTTTTAATGACCTGGGCTTTTACAG